AAACTCAACAGTAAGTTCAAGTACATCACATGCACGGTGTATGGGGCATGTGTACAGACTTTGTTTTTGCTGCCCATTCACATTCATGTTTTTTGTTTTGCTTTGTATTTTTGTTACCAGGAATCAAATTCGGGCCCTTGCACTTGCAAGGCAGGTGGTGAAACCACAGAGCTAAATCCCCAGCCCTCATTCATGTTATTTTTTGCTGTGTGGTCTTCAGTAAATAAGGACGGTGTCGTTTGAGATGAATTCTTACACAACTCCTCCTCAGCTTCACACACACAAAGATACTACTTTAGTCTAAATCCTGTTGCTATAACAATATAGCCGAGGTTGGTTATTGTATAAAGAAAAGAGAGGTAGGCCAGGAAAAGTAGTATACACCTGTAATCTTAGCTACTTGGGAGGCTGAAGCAGGAGGATTACGAGTTCAAGACCAGCTTGGGAAACTTAGTGAGACAAAAACAAAACAAACAAACAAAAAAACCCAAAATCAAAAACAAATAAGTAAACACTGTGGTCTTCCTTAGGTTCAGTTCTCAGCATTGGAAAGAAGGAAGGAAGGAAGGAAATGAAGATAGAGAGAGAGAGAGAGACAGAGAGAGAAAGTATAATACACGTAGCTCACAGTTTTTGAGGCCAAGAATCCATGACAGGGCCTTCTTTTGGTGCGGGCCCCTTGGAGCATCACAGTTCACATCATGGTGGGAGTGTGAGAAGAGAAAACAGGGCAAGGCAGGAAGCAAGAGAGATTCAGGAGCCAGTTAGTCCCCTCTGCCTTGGGGACTGCCCAGCATCCCTTACCGTGTTCTCTTCCATCCCAGAGGCCCCACCCCTAGAGGGTCGCGCCCTTCCTCAGTCACCGTGAGGACACACGAGCGGAGGATGTGACCTTTCTTCCGGAGTGCCTGTCTCACTGTCCACACGGCTGCGGCAGCCGGAAGCCTGGAGCCAGTGGTCCCCTCCACAGGGGTGGGAGCGGTCTGCTTGTGTGCTGCGTCTTCAAGGTGGACGGCAGAGCGAGCACAGAGAGGGCGCTGGACAAAGCCTGACTTGCTGCTGGGTGATCTCCAGGCTGCATCCATTTCCCTCCATCCTCTCCAAGCTGCCAGAGCCACCCCTGCAACAGCGCCCACCTCACAGCGCATCCCCACCCTTCTCCTGCCAGGCGAGTGTTCCCGGCCAGCCTTGGAGGTGCTCCTGACTTGCACCCTAACGTTCCTCCTCCTCCGAGAACAGCCCCAGCGCCCCACACCTGGCGGAGGCGGCCTTCTCCACACGCCTTCCACCACCTGCCTTCACCCGCCGCGGGCCTCTGCACATCTCTCGTGCTCTCCGCCTAAACTTGATCCTCCCTCTCCACTCATTTAACACCAACTTGCAGAGGTGCGTGAGTGCCGAGGCCCCGGCAGGTGGGTTTGGGTTTTTGTTTTTGTTTCTTTTTTCGTGGTACCGGGGATCGAACAGGTGGGTTTGATGAAATGTCCTGTCCAAAACAACCTGCAGGTGCTGACAGGAGAAACCACTACAGGATGACTTGGTTTCATTTTGCATAATTATTTTCTGCATAACATCTTCACAACGTGTGAGGAGGTTTCTTAAGTCTTCCTGAATGAGTTCGAGAGCCCACTCAAGGCCCCTTCAAATGCGCCCCAACATTTCTCTCCCCATTCACGTACCTTTGGAGGTACTGCCAAGTACATCCACCTGTATCCTTTTCCGACTTTTCTTGTGTGAGCTTGTGTGTTGCTGGGGATGGGATGCAGGGCCTCACGCATGCTCGGCAAGTGCCCTGCCACTAAAGGTACAGCCCCAGCTCTGATTTTTTTTCTCTATTGGATATGAGTCCTTAAAAGATAGATTCTATTCTGGTTTTTGGATTAAAGTCTCTGACGATCCTTCTCCTGTACAGTAAGAATGCTTAATAAAAAAGTGCCCTAAAATGATAGGTTGGGGTCTCCTCAGTTCATGAATGCCTATGGGATAATTTATGCATAGTTCAGTCTGGGGACAAGGGAGCCTCTGGAATCAGTGGTACTGAGGGAAAGAGAAACCTTCCTGCTCATCTTCTGCCTTAGATGCCTTCCCTTTTGTGTAGGTTACAGAAAATGGGGTGAGCTGACCAAATCTTACAGAACAAGATGATTAGAATTACTCAGACTACATGTTTCTAAAAGAACCTGCAATTATAAGAATATATTATTTCAGCACTCTGGGAGGCTGAGGCAGGAGGGTTACAAGTTTGAGCCCAGCCTAGGAGATGTCTGGGAGTGTAGCTCAGAGCAGAGGCCCTAGCTTCAGTTAGGAAGAAGAAGAAGGAGGAGGAAGAGGAGGAGGAAGAAGAAGGGGGAAGGGAGGGGAGGAGGGGCGGGGGAGGGAGAAAGAGAAGAAGAAGAAAAGAAAGAAAGAAAAGAACTTAGTAGTAGTATAATTGATAAAGGAATTTCAATACAATAGGGATCAGGCGATCGATGAACTATGTTTTACAAGTAACATTTGTCTTTACATCACATACCAATATAAATTGCAGAAAGATTAACACATAAAGTAATAAAACTTCAAGCAAGAAAAGACTCTATGAAAACACGTGAGCCTCTTACATCCAGAGGGACAGAGGCCTTTTGAGCTTATAAGCAATGGAAAACAAAAAGTATTTTTGGCCGTGTAAAAATGAAAAGTTAATGATCACCTTAAAAGGTAACCAACAAGATGGAGAGAGAGAAGCTATCGGAAGCAATACTAAGGCACATACCTATAAACCCAGCAGTCAGGGAGGCTGAGGCAGGAGGACCCATCCCCAAGTTCAAACTCAGCCTGGGGGAGGGGAAGAGGGAGGGAGGGAAGAGGAGGAGAGGGGCGGGAAGCGGAGGGGAGAGGGAGAGGTTACTTTTACCCTGTGTGGGCTGTGTTTCGAGGCGGAAAGGCAGTGACTGGGGGAGTGGGTGGAGAGGAGCTCTGGGAGGCCCGTTCTTCATCCTGGCAGATCTGAGGGACCTCACCAGGGGGTGCATGTGTCAAGAGCGGAGAGGAGGGAGGAGGAGGACAGGACCCAGCGCTGTTCCACGTATTGTAACTGCCTGCCTCCTCCGAAGATCTGAAGTGCTTCACAAATTACCAAAGGTGAGTAAAAGCAAGTGAGAGTGAATTGATATCATTTACGGTAGCATCCAAAAATCAACTACCTCGGAATAAATCTAGCGAAAGTCACCTGGGATTGAAAAATACGGTGAATATTAAAAACTTTAATTCATCGCAATGAGAGACACATCGCCATTCACCTCCCTCGATACACCTGCTGTCTGTGCACGCACTTACTCCATCCTTCCTGCAGCTTTCGGGAGCGCTCTGGGAGCCCTCTACCATGAGGGTCTTCAGTTGTAATGTCCTGGTGCCTGATGTTCTGAATCGATTCAAAACGTTTCACGCTGGGGAGCAGCCAGCTCCAGTGAATAAGTGGCTGAGAACGTACTGCAATGTTTTTGTTTTGTTTTGTGGTACCAGGGATCGAACCGGGGTCCTCGCCCTTGCAAGGCAGGAGGCGGCACCACGGAGCTAAACCTCCAGCCTCCACGCTGCCTTTCTCGGATGGAACCTGGCAGCAGCAATGAGCATGTTTTTTATCACACTTCATAAAGGCAGAAAAGAGGACTTTGGGAACTGCTTCGGACCCTGCGAGAATGATGGCATAAGTGTGGCTGAAGTGGAAGAGAGTGCTCTGAATCTTTTACTGCAATCAGTGTTTAAAAATGTAAATATTTACCATAAACTTTGATCACTTCTCGTAGAAGGCCTCTGCATAGAAAAGCACAAGCGCAGCAAGAAATTCAATAAAAGGACATCACTTGTTAACTGTTTGGAAGATGCAGTCCTGTAAAGTCGTCCAATTTCTCCAAGTGAATCCACAAATTCAACACAACTGGATCAAAATGTGAGCAGGAATTTTGGCCCCAAGAAATGAACAAATTGAAGGTACTGGGTTCAATCCCCAGGACTCTCCCCCTCCACAGAACACACAAACAGAGGAACAAAATAGAGTTCACGAGTGTGATGTCAAGGGCAGTGGGGGAAAGAGGAGACCTTAGATAAATGGCACTAGCTGTAGGCAAAAAAAGAACTCCTGACCCCATCTAATACTATAGAAGGGAAATTTTTGTGCTTTTGTGGAAAGCTGCCTCTGTGTGATCTAATTCTCTTATCCAATAGCAGTGATTTCATGACACTGCGACTTATAGATAAGTAGGAGCAATGTAAGATTCGGGGACACCAACGGTCCCCTTGAGGGGTACTGCCCCTCCCCATGGCGAGCACAGTGTGTCCCTATTTGCATACTCATGTCGTAGCCCTGACTTAGAAACGTGTCTGTCCTCTGAGCTCCCTTCTGAACAGGCTGTAACACTTGACTAGCTCATGAATAAATTAAATAAGATGTAACATTCATTTTTACATAACAATCTTGATTTTATTTTGTGTGCATGTGCGTTCTGGGGACCGAACTCTGGGTAAGGCACATGCTCTACCTTCTCAGCCCTGTGATTTGATCTTTTTTTTAAATTAACTTTTTAATGATACACACATTAATTCCAGGTGACTTGCTAATCTTTTTTTTTTTTTTTGGTACTGGGGATTGAACTCTGGACCTTGCGCTTGCGAGGCAGGCAGTGGCACCACTGAGCTAAATCCCCAGCCCTGACTTGCTAATCTCAATAGAAAAAGTAAAGCAATAAAGCTTCCAGAAGATTGTAAAGGAAAATATATCCATGACTATCACTTTGGGACAGCAAAGATTTCTTAAACAGCACAAAAGCACTGTTCATAAAAGCAAAGGTTGATAGCTCAAGGTTCATTAAAATAAGGAACTTCTTTTCATCAAGAAAGGATACCAAGGCCTGGGGATTTAGCTCAGTGGTTCTGCCTCCTGCCTCGCAAGTGCAAGGTCCAGAGTTCAATCCCTGGTAAACAAACATTTTCTGTATATTTGTATATATTAGATTTCAATGTATATGTTCATTTAAAATTATGAATGATTAGAAGAACATTTTCTTTCTCACTATGGATTTAGGAAGCCTTTGGAGTATTTGTTTTAGGGACATAGTGTATCCACTTTCGCCTAACAGGTCTGGAGGGAAATCTGAAATGGAGCCACCTGTGCCCTGGAAGAGGTTGTGATTCTTCCCCCAACTGCTCGCTGGGACTTCCACGCCACTGGCTCAAGTGAGGACGGCCACGCTCAAGTGCAGGTGCTGGGGGGAGGGCAGCGTTGTCCCAGAGAGATGAGCAGGCTAAGGAAAGCTGTGCATCCTGGGGTGGATACGGTGAGTTCTCAAGAGTGGGTAGAGATGCACCAGAGGTATGAGAGGGGACATCCAGGGAAGGTAGGCAGAAGGCACTGGAAAAGGCCATCGAGGCTGGGGAGGCAGAGCACACACTTACCACGTGTGTGTGAGGCCCCTGGTTCCATCTTCTGCGCTGAGACACATGGGGTGGCGGAGTCTGGTGCTGTCCCCCAGACTGGATCCCTATGTAAGAGTTTCATCCTCACCGTCTAAAGCCTGCATGCTCATCAGCCTGTCCTACATGCATTAGTAGCATCGAGCAGAAGCGGAAGCTGGGTGTGGTGGCACATGAATGTAGTCCCGGCACTCAGGAGGCTGAGGCAGGAGGAGGATGAATTCGAAGCCAGCCTGGAGTATATAATAGCAAGTTCAAGGTCAGCCTGAGCAACATGGTGGGGGCTATCTCAAAAAACAAAACTACAGCGGAAGAGGAATGAAGGGAAGGTGGAGCTGCTCACACCCACCCCTAGACCAGCTCTGCTGCTGTGGGGACGTTGCTGACAGAGGCTCCTGGCTGAGATGTTTGAGAGGCCGGAAGAGGATATGCCCTGGAGGGGCAGCTTCTCGACTGAAAACTCAGGAGGAATAAACACTCAAAACCTTTGCTTTTAGCCAGGTACAAAGCCTAAAAGCAGGTACATGATTGCAATCCCAGATTCTTGGGAGGCTGAGGCAGGATACAAGTTCAAGGCCAATCTAGGCAATTTAGTGAGACCATGAATCAAAGTGAAAAAGGAAAAGGCCTGGGGGTGTATCCCGGTGCACATCACTTGTCTAGCATCCACAAGGCCCGGGGTTCCATCCCAACACTAGACCCCCAACCCAAACCCACTTCTGCTTTCTCCTGTATTCATTCACAGAAGGTTCTGGAAAGGTGAAGTGGCCTGCATCTGCAAGGAGTACAAACACGAACACGCACTCCTCTTCTAGTCAGGAAAACAAACCTTCTATTGTGAAAAGATAGTTGCACAGGGTAGCGCTAAAGGTCGACGCACCGGTGACTGAAGGGCTGAAACCTGAGAGTTTATACGTCACTCGTGTCCCTTCTACAAAATTTGAGCCTCCTTTCAGTTGCAGAGGTGGAGACAGGGACCTTCTCTGAGAGGACCTGACACGCGGGGACTGTGTTTGTGTCAGCTCTGTGACACATTAGGGCTGAAACCTGAGAGTTTATACGTCACTCGTGTCCCTTCTACAAAATTTGAGCCTCCTTTCAGTTGCAGAGGTGGAGACAGGGACCTTCTCTGAGAGGACCTGACACGCGGGGACTGTGTTTGTGTCAGCTCCGTGTGACACATATTATCCCACAGCTGTGGGAGGGACGGTTAGCCACTGCCCGTGCCCATCACCCTCCAGCCTGGCCAGTTTCAGCCTCCTCCTGCCCAGCTGCTGGGCCGTGGGAAGAGATCCCGCCTCACTCCACCTAGAAGCTGGTCACAGTCAGCCATGTGAGCAGGGGCCAGGACACAGAGGAGAAGCAACACGGTTTACCCAGAGCCAAGTGAATGAATCACAGTGTGGCTGTTTGTCACCACACCCTGGAGTCAGAGCGGAGGAGAAACACAAGAGCCTCTAACTGCCCCTTCCTGCTCCTTCCTTGGAAACAGCACATTTCCCACCAAGAATTCCTCAGGAATCCCCCCCACAGGGTCTTGCCGTGTGGTTTAGGCTGGCCTTGAACTCCCAGCAGTCTTCCTGCCTCAGCCTCCCAAGTGCTGGGATTACAGGTGTGCGCCATCATGCTCGGCTCAGAAATAACTTTAAGCATTTCTGCAGGGAACAGTGTGTGATGATGGCAGGGCAAGGACAGTGGCCCCTTGCACTCCCTTTGAGCCTGTCCTCAGCATGACCACACACAGTCCCATACTGGGTTTTCTTGGCCTGAACACAAATCTGTATTCCAGATCTGCCCTAGCCGCCCAGCCTGGCTGCCCAGGTCCTGCTGCTGTCCGGAGAGGCTTGGGCTCACTCTGGTGGCTGGGAGTCTTGGTGCTTTCTGCTCGGCCGCTTTGAGAGGAGGAGGAGGAGGAGGAGGACAGGTGGCTCACCTGTCCAGTCTGACCTGCCAGGCACCTTGCCCATCTCAGGCCAACTGAAACTCTTCCTCTTTCAACCCCAGCTAGAGGGGAGGCGTGGAGGGAAAGCGCAGTCATCTGGCCTGACATGCCACGCCCCTGAAAGCTATCTACACACACTCAGCTGGTCCCTGAAGGGCCAGCAGTCCAACCACCGTGTGGCTTGTGGGAGAGGGTGGGGGGCAGTGGGGTGAACCCAAGCTCACTGCCTGCCAGCCTGGCCACTCCCCACATCGCAGTACGCCTAACCCAGAACCTGGCTATGAAACTAAGAGAGGACAGATTCTGATTCCTGGGTGGTCAGGCGGTACCAGAGTCTCCGGAACAATGTGCTGTGGCCTGGAGGGGATCCCATGGTGCAGGGAAGGACTTCGCCCTCCCTGTCCACCGCCTCTGCCAGAGTCTGGCCCAACAGAAACCCAAACACATGAGGTCACAGGTGGTTGGGGACTTTTCCTTCCTCCCCTGCTCCCTTCCCGCGGTCTCAGCCTTCCTCCGAGAAGAGGTGCTCGTATCTGACTCAGCTGGGAGGCTGCCCAGCAGGGTTTCATTCTGTGCCCTCTCCATTGTGGGTGCTGGCAAGGGCAGCTGAAAAATTGGGCTCCCAGGACGTCAGCTGGAAAATACCTGCCTTATTTAATTGCAGGGGCAACTGAGAAGGAAATACCCTAAATTCCAGGCCTGGGGTGTGGGGCAGCAACAGCTCCTGGACAAGCCCTGACTCAGGCCACACAGCTTTGTCTCTTCCCTTCCCTTCCTTCCCTGATTTTCCTCTGCCCATTAGAACCTGGATGCTGGTTCCTTCATCTACCACCTTGGAGAGAAAACTGGTTTTTTGTGCTGTTGGTTTTTTTTTTTTGTACCAGGGGTCGAACTCCAGACCTTGTGCTAGCAAGGCAGGCGGTGGAACCACTGAGCTAAATCCCTGGCCGGAAACTGCTCTCTTCTTAAAACACCCAAAGTGGTTTATAAACATAAGACTTCTTTTGTATTATCAAGCTGTGCCTTGGAATCGAATTTTATCCAGCTTTATGCCCCTCAAAGTACCCAGCACATGGCAGGCACAGAGTGAGCTCTCCATAAATCTTTGTGGACATACTGAGCCATTAAGATGAAGAAGGTTAATAATGGGTTGTCAAAAGGGGAAATGGTACCAGAAACGAGAGTTCTGTTGGGCTTTCCGAGCCATCTACCTCCTCTGGAACCACCAGGAGACCAGTGCTAAATAGGCCTTGCCCACACTGTAGCTGCCCCGCTGCAAACCCAAGGCGCGTCTGTCTGTTCAGGAGGCAGAGAAGGAGTCAGGTCCAAGAGTGACGCCAACCCTGGTGAAGAGGCAGCATTACTGGGTATGGGGGGAGTGAGGACCGAGGGGTGGGGGCAGCTCTAGTCCTGATGTTTGGTTTGGCAATCCGATTTCCAGTTCCTCTTTTTTTTCTTTTCCTGACTTAGTCTCGCCTTATTTGGTGAAGGCGGGGCGATATGGACACTACGGGACCCTCGCTCACGCTCGCGGCCACCACTTACCTTCCTCTTTTCAGACTCGGTAAGAGCCTTACCTCCCCCAGCACTTGCCTCTCCCCAGAGGACACCCAAGGAAAGGAACAGGGGCGGGGTCCTTTTCACTATCGCTGACATCATGTGCCGGACCCCAAACTTCCATGCGTTACTACTCTTTTACGACCATTCTAGGGGGTGACTGGTACCTCGTTTTATAGAGGAAGAAACTGAGACTGAAAGACACTAAGTAATCCTCACAAGGTCACACACCTGCATCTGGCGACGCTGCACCAGAAACTAAGGTCTGATTCCCAAGCCAGGGCTTCGGCCAGCTCCCGGCCCGTCCCGAGGCTGGGGACTTGGGGCAGCGGGAGACCGAGTCCCCACCACCACCCGTGAGGTCAGAATTCCCCAAGCGCCCCGCCCCGCTCCGCCCACGTGACCTCCCTCACCCT